AGCTGTCAGTCGCCTGCATATATGGTGCCGTGTCGCGTGTTAGTAGCCCCACCCCCCACCCCCTAGTATGGTCCCCCATGGTATACACCCGAAATCCTCGTGAGGGTTGTCGCTGTTGTCTCAAAAAGTGCCAACAGTCACGGGGATGGCCCCCAGAACCTGCGATCTTCGTGGGTGTTGCGGCTTTTGAAGCTATGCAACTTCGTGGCGTGTCCAAAGTGGCGACACTGACCTGGATGGGCGATGGTTTCGGTCTGCGCCGCCCAGCTGCTGACCCTCAACCCTAAACTCTTTCATATCTATACACCTTTTGCAACTGGCTTGCAACGTCACACCTAAACCCGAAACGACACCACCACCCACAGGGGGCGGCGCGGGTGCAAACCCTAAACCCTGAACCCAACACCCACCACCACGCCACAGGGAGGGGCAAGGGACTTTAACACTAAACCTGAAACCCACAACAACCCACCAGCACAGCACACGACAAACCCTAAACCCACCACCACACCACGGGGGGGGGAAGGGGTTTAACACTGAACCTGAAACCCACAACCACACCACAGGGGGGGGAGCTGGGGTCAAATAGCCCAAAACCCGGCACCATACCACAGGGGACGAGGGGGGTTAAACAACCCAAACCCACCACACCACACCGCAGGGGGTGGCAAGGAACACAGGAGGGCACGCGCGCACCACACCACAGGCCACAGAGGGGCCGGGAGAATCAGAATGTGGGGGGGCGGAAGGTGGGCAACCGGCCCCCGCCCTTCTCCCCCAATGGTTCCTCCTCCCCCCTGATGTGTTGTGGTTGTGGATTTTTCCCCCTCCCTGTTTTGTGGTGTGGTGTCTGCTTGGGCTGGTTACCCCACTCCCTTTCGTGGTGTGGTGTGGTTTGGGTTTCCTGCGTGGGTCTGCTTGGCGTGTGAGCCCTCGTGTGGCACAGTCACACACAGATTCGGCTTGGGGAGCGTGGGGGGGGGCATTGGGGGTGGGGGGGGGTCGGTGAACCGAGAACCGGGATCATGTGTTATTTTTTGTCACTCGTGCTCGACAGGTATTATTATAGGAATTATAGGTACAGGTGGATAGGCAGAGTGACAGACACACTGCAGCTTTGTGGGAAACTCGAATGCATCGATCACAATTGGCGAATCGACAGGCACGATGCACAAGACCATGAGGCTCGGCCAGTCTGCGGCGAAGTCGCTGGCCATGTCTCGCGCGGACAGAGGACTGGGGCATGCAGCGTTTGAAAGCCAGCATGCCCCGACTGGCCGTAGCACGTCGTGTGCGACCGAGTGGTGAGCTGACAGCTCCCACAGCGTTGCGAAGAAGACAAGATCACGGCCCAGCGCACCCAGATTCCGAGAAGCAGTCGCAGACCTAACTCTGCTACTCTTTTGCCACCCGCCCAGCTGAACAATGTCGCACCGCAGGGAACCCTGCAGAGTCAAGTTCATGCCTTAATGTCTTCGTGCCCTGCACATAAGTCGCAAATCACTGCTTTAGACAGAAGCTTTTCGAACACGTCGGGGCCCTGCGGCCCGAGTCTGTTTCCTGGAAAACACGAAGGCCCTGTTGCAACATTTTTGGGAAGTCTTATCTGCACGAGGAAACACTGTTCGTTGTGCGCCAATCCTCGGCAAAACCAGCAGGCACTCCGCCATGCTAGCACGGCAACAAGCCGTGACAAGTTCAGTGCGACGCAAAGGTCGGCTGTGTTAGACATGCTGATCTCGCTGGCCGCTTTGCTCTCTCGACCCATCACATGAGACCGTGAAACTCTGCAGGTGCATCTTCGCAGTTGCCTTGAACTCTGCCAGGAAGCGCTCCAGCCAAGCGACGCTTTGCGCATCTAAATGGTTCGTGGGCTCGTCGAGCATAAGAATGTCGGGATTCGACCTGTGGGCATTGCAATTTCGGGTTTCTCCCGCTCACCACCGAGAACCTTCCTGCGCACTCAAGCTGGATAGCATATGCCTGTGCCTAGACAGACTGTGACTCAGCCACAGACAGAAGCAAGCGGCAAATCGCCACACGGCGAAGCTCTCCTCCACTCAGCGTTGCGATCTTCGCATCTCGTGGGGGGCAGTTCAGCGCAGCCATGGCCTAAACGGAGCACAAGGACTCCGAGATGTCATAAACAATCACAACCTTCCAAGGGCAAGGTGGGCTCGTGCCTCATCCAGCTTCTGATCTATTTCCCAGCCGTTGCAGGCATCGATCTTGGACTGGATAGTTTCCATCTTTTGCATGAGCGCATCTACGTCAGCATCGGGATCCGTCATCTGCATGCTCACATCCTCAAACTCCCTGACCATGCCCTTTATGTGGTCCACCGCCGGCTCCAAGTTTGCAATCACTGTCTCCTCTTTGAGAACAGGTTCCTGAGCCAGATAGCCTACCTGTATAGCCTCATCACACTCGAGCTTGCCAAGGAATTCGTCGTCCTCGCCGGCCAAGATTCGCATCACCGTGCTCTTTCCTGCGCCGTTTTTGCCCAAAATGCCGATCTTCGCACCCATGTACATGCCCAGAGAGACGTCTTTCAAGATGTAACTCCCATCTAAAGACTTCTTGTCCACGTTGCTCATGGAGAGGATAATGTCACGTGTCTCCTGGTCGTAAGCATCCGGAGCAGCACTGTCCGACTTCGGTATTGGAATGCCGGAAGTTCTCCCCCCCTTCTTCTGCGATTTCCTTTGCTGGTAGCAAGCCGCCGCTGAAAGCAGAAGAGGACACGCTTGCTTCGGCAGTTCAAGCACAAGCTTCAAGGCTTCAAGCACCGTCTAGCTTGCAGCGAGACTCCGACTCTTCGCTTGCCGCTGTGTTCGCTGGCCTCGCCGCGGGAGTGCCTGCAGCCGCCCGGGCAATGAGCGGAGGCTACCACGGCTACCACCACCGGCTGCATTCAGTGCTGCTGGAGCACCCCCGCGGCAGCGCCCAAGGCAGCCAGGGTCGGGACGGCACCGATCCTGCAAGTCAGAGTCAGAGCTTGGTTTTGCTGGCATCTTCGCTCTGTTGAAGTTATGAAGCTTGCACGAGAACCGTCTTCTGCACCATTCTCTCACTTCTTAATCTTCTAAAACAAATTGCGACTCCATCACCTTCCGACCACAGTATTCAGGGAGACGAAACGGTGCACGATCGCCGCCTGTACCCGCAGACAGAGCACCCATTCTTCGAGCGGGTCCTTCCGCTAGCCTCGGAGCACCTGTGGGCAAGAACCGCAAGTGCCGAAGCAAGAGGACTGTCTTCTCTTCGCTCCCTTTGCAGAGCATTGCAGAGCCTCCTGAGCCTCAGCTCACTGCTCGGTGCGCTGCCGTAAGCACCCGTCCATGGCAGCGGCGCCGGCACAACGAAGGCAAAGGCCGAGGCCGTCGAGGCCGCCGTGGCCGCCATGGCGTCTCTCGAGCTTCGAAAGTGTTGTGATGCACCGACGAAACGAAGGCATCAGAAGAAGTGCGTAGGCGATCGTAGGCGTAGCAAGGGCTTCAATTCTCTTCCACGCGTACGCTCACTGGCAACACAGTCCAACCAGCCTGCCTGGGTAGCCTGGGGGCCCATAGTAACCAGGCGGTCCATGTGGGTATCCTGCGACACATCAGATTCACGGCTTCACGCGCAGTATCCCCAGAGTTAGTTTGGCTACAGGTTACCATTCCTTTCTACTGGACAGGCACGACCCCCCCTTGCGGCCATGTTACCCTTAAGCCTTAGCTGTGTGGAGCGATGGCCTGGAGGCACCATGTGAGGTGGTGGGTAGCCATGCCTCTTTCCAGGCAAAGGACGGCTCGCAGTTGTGCCAACTTACACGCAAACACGCAATTCCACATCAACTCTGCTCAGTTCGTCTTCAGTCTTGCTTGCACGTTGGCGCTTCGAGAAGCGATCCGGAACAGTTTGCAGTCTCGGTTCCACGCGGGCCAAAAGGTGGTGGAGCTCCGTGCGGCCTCCCAGGAAGCCGCAAAAGAAAAGATCATCTCAGGCGCGACCGAAGACTGAAGTCATCCCTTTGGAGCTTTGACCCTGACGGGAATGCGAAGGGATGCCCCGGCGGCCCGGGTGGCCTGCAGTCACGCTCCGGTTGTGGGCCACTGGAACTTTAAAACTCCAGATGGAAAAGCAGTTGCGGCTTTAACACCACGAGCCCAAGATTGGTTTTCGCTATTGATTTCCGAGCCGCCTGGCCCTCTGCGAAAAAAACGACCATGGAGCACGAAACAAGCCTCGTGCCTCTGAGACGTGTTTATACCACTTCGTGCCTCTGATACGCATTTATACCACCGCGTCTAATCAAATCTAAACTATCTGGCTCCGTGATTGATCACGGCGTATTTTGCAAGGGAAAACTGAAATCGGTATTGTCGCAAAATGCGGCCAAACCCAAACTATAATTCCCCACAAGCGACAAACACTCGGGCTCGCGCGGGTAGCCGAAAGGCGGCACGTGCCCTGGAAAGGGCGCCTCGGTTTAAGTTCGTGCCGTGCCGTGATCACCTGTGACCATCAGCGCCGCTTTTGAGCCCACCACTCCCGGAGGAGGCATGTGGACCGGCATGGGCCTGACGGACACGATGCTGTCATGCCACGTCCCGCCTCTATGAAAGGACGCAGGTGTTATACAGGCGTGCGCTCTGCTCATCTCAGCTCCCAGCGGTGGCGGAGCTGCCTTCACCGGGACCGTCTTCTAACTTGTAACTGATTACCCCCGGTTCTTTACAACCCAAACAAACCCGTTGGCAAGGGTGCGAGCGTGGGTGTCCTTGTCTCACAGCAGCACATCTCGCAAACGCAGCCGATCATAAGAGTCATAATTCTGGTTGTGCACTCTCGTGGTTCCACATGCTCATGTGCCGTGCTCGATTGCTGCCCTCGAGGCATTGCAGTTGTTTGTTGTAAGCGACCGCTCCCAGATCTATGGCTAAGGCCCTGAGACCCTGATACCTGCACCAGGCAGGTCAGGGCGCTACAGTAGCTTGCTGAACTCGAAAGAATCAGGAATACAGCCTAGGCGTGACCACATGTGGCCATCTGACCTGAATTACGCTCAAATCGCAAAGTTCGCCCCCCGATGCTTCTACGATGTCCCCAACCTTCGCCTCACGGATCCGCGAGAGCACCACAGAGGAAGGGTTTCGAGTGCCCCGAAGGTCCTGGGAGCAAGGCGCAGCCGATTTTAGCGCACCATGCCTCTTGTGACATTCCAGGGAAGCCGTACTGAGGACCAATCTCCCTTGCCAAGTACCAGGGCAATAACGTAGGGCGGACAGGCCTTGCTGTAGAAGCCAAGGAAACGGCGAAAGGCAAACAAACTCTTGTCACTTTGAGGGACGGGCCCTGAGTTGCGCTTCGGCGCCTGGCGCATCAGCGATCTTCACTTTGGCGGATTGATGCTCACACTCGGACAATCAGGACGGGCCCGCTTTCATCTAGATCGTTGTATTCAACAAAGGCATCGATGTCAGTCGCCTCGTGAGCACCCAGGCTGTGTTCATGGAAAACGTGACACATGAAGCGAAATGGTCCATTTGCCCTGGGCTGTGTGAAGGTCATCACCGAGAGCCGCTCACTGGGCATGGATGGCATCATCCCCATAGAGGAAAGGTCTGCACGCCGGGAGCCAATGCATGCCAATGCGAAAACGTGAGATCTGATGAAACATGGCAGAGGTGCTGATGTTTCCAGTTCCACCGGCTCTGACATCCTTTATTTTTGCCTGAGCCGTAGAATCCCTCCAATCTCGCGTGCTGTACTGAGCCAAGCTTCATTGCAAAACCTCCGTATCTGCGGAGCTGTTGAGCTTTTGGGGTTAGGAGCTTCGCTCGAGCTCGGGTAGAAATTTAGAAAGTAATTTTTCGTGAATCAGAAGCATGCCTTTCCATCGTATGCCATGGCCGCAAGTCTTGAGTGCATTTGAGTGCGGTGCAAGGAGGGCAGCTGAAGGATCGAAAGCACCTGTGATCTGAATGCGCAGTGAGAGCGGACATCACAAAAAGTGAGCTGACAAAGGAAGGCCCGCTTTGCCAAACAATCACTGTCAAGTCAACGGAGCCAGGACTGGACCAGAAAACACAAGGACACTCCTCGCTGCATCTCATCAAGCTTCGTGTCATACATGCCGCAAGGCCTATGACATCGCCGCTGCTCAGGACAGTCCGCTTGACGGTGGGCGAACAGCTCCGGAGAGCTTGTGCCTTTGTTCCGCCACGCAGCAACGCCGGGTCCGCAAGCAGGTAACGCCGGATGTTGGCTACCAAGTGCCCAGCGGCTACTTCGTTTACACCATTTGCCTTGATGTAGCCGTTTACCTCTGAGCCTCAGCAAGTGATTGGCCATGGAGATCATGGAGGGCTGCGCATACCACCAATGGTACAAACAGTTACAAAGTCTGACACTGCTTGGCAAGCCCATGGGCCGCGACCTCGAGCATGATAAACACGAGTCGCCATCCACGCTTGCGAATCTCAGCACCTGACGCCGTTCGGCCACGCTGCGGCTTGTCTTCCACTCGTGCATCACGGATGCGGACCTCAGCGGTTTTATGAGTGGAGTGTTCCTAGGTTGTAGCATGCGACACGTAAGGCTAGAACCAGCACTGCTGCGGACGGATTCCGAGCCTTGCACGTACGCGTCGACCGCGCTGGTGCCTTTCCCCGCTGCAGCATCCGAGGACATGACAGAGTTAAGGTCGCCCCTGGTGAGGACGCGCTTCTGCACCTCTTCATGCACGTCGTGACGAAAGCCTGTTGCAAGTCTGCATTGCAAGATTTTTGGCCGGCCTCTGGGGGACATTCTCGCAAATCTTGCGCAGCACGGTCCTGGTCAGGCATGTGATGTGATGCCACTGTATTTCTATCGTGCCAAAAAAGGTGCAGTCTACTTGAGGCAGCCACATCCACCTTGTTGTGCCTGAGAAACCTTGACATTAACGCCCAGCTAGGCCTCTCACGATCTTGCAGGCACACGTGCTGAGAACCACGCTCTTCCACTTCCTCTGCTGTGGGCGGCTTCTCCTTCATATGCATGACAAATGCTGCAGTAGCAACTAACGCCCTGCAAAGTCAGGGGTCATCTTCATACGAGCGGGCATAGGCGCACACTAAAGGCATACTCTGTTGCCGGAAATGAATTCATGGCCCACACGGAAAATACAAAACATCAGAGCGTTGATCAATGTGCTTGTCTCTCGAAATGGTTTCTTCGCGGCATATTGCTTTCCTTTCGCAGAACTTTCGCCCTCACTTTCGCGCGACATGTTTGAGGTCGTAGTCGTAGTAGTAGTAGTAGTAGTAGTAGTAGTAGTAGTAGTAGTAGTAGTAGTAGTAGCTTTTGTAGTAGTAGTAGTGGTAGTAGTAGTTGTAGTAGTCGTCGTCGTCGTCAGCGCGCACGCCGGAAAGACCAGTCCCCGAAGCGCAGAGGCCCTAAATGAAAGGCACGACCATTCCCAACTGCCCCACCACCACCTCCCACAATCCGTGGGTATATCGCAGCATAGCGTACAGCACATACCTTACAAGTCCTATACGGCCCAAACCTATTACGCAACAACATCAACAACTTTCGCGGATTCTTATTTTCCTTTCGCGGACCCATCGCAGATCTTTCGCGGACAGGAAAGGCAGCATGGTCTCAGAGTGACATTATCGAGTTTCCGAAAACTGGCCAATAACAGTTGAAGCCATTTGGATGGCTGCATGGCAGAGCCATACTACTGTAATTAGTAATTACTTCTGTCTTGTTCAAAGCTCACAAGTTTTCCCGCCAGCATGCGTTCGTATTTTCGTCCAGAAAATTTTCCGCTGCAGTGGACTTGCCCCGGCCCCTACTCCCCGTTGCGTCCCCACCCAAACCCCGCACTCGCCATGATCACACACACACACACACATCAACGTCACTTCAATGTAGCAGCCAGAGCCAATCCCGTTCAACTGAACATGAAAGTATGATGCAAAAGCGGGCGCATGTGCCTCATCCGAAGAATCCTCCGAATCACGAGGCATGTCACCTGCGAAATCTGCGCCTGACATCAGAACACGCTGTCACATATTCATCAAGCACTTTGCTGGTGCATAGGCGTGCAAAACAGCTGGTTGTTTTTGCCTCCTGCGCGGCTCAGCAATTCGCACTCCGAGACCCCGGCTGCATTGCGCAGATGGAAAGCCACCCCGTCAACATGCAGGTGGCTGGCCCAGAGCAGTCGGCAAGGCTTGAACCAAATGGTCATCAAATTTTTCGATCAATCAAGAATGGCTGTTGTACCAAGGCCCGTTCGTCGGACGATGGTCTCCATGATACAAACAAGCAACAGGCACAGGATGCTCCAGCAAAACTAAGTGGCTCGGCAGCGCTCGGTCACGTGGTTCTTCGGCTTCGGTCACGACGAAAGTCACGCGGATCAGAGACTACATAATTGGCCCGATCTCCCGCGTTTTTAGATGCTGCTCGCAGTTTGTTGGCGCACTTTTTTGGGAACCTTCTTGCAACTGCCGGACTGATGTCTTGTCGGCGCGGAAAGCTGGTCCAGACCCGGTCGTGCATTTGCGCGTCCGAAACACCTCAGCGAGATCAAGGCTAAGTGTGGGGGGGGGTGCTGAGAGGGTGCCAGGATCCAGATATGTTCCAGCTGTCTCGGGACAGCCCTACACCGTCCCGTCATTGAGAAGCTTTGGTTTCGCTGATACCGTCCAAGCAGGCCCAAGCAGAAACAGAGCACTGGACACGCTTATAAGAATTGCCGAGAAAAAAAAGAATTGCCTTTTCGCCGACTGACCTCTTTTCCGGCTGCCCGAGTCCCGAAGTGCCTACCTGGCCCGACGGAGGTGCTCCTGACAGGGCATCAGCGAGGCCCCTGGCGGCTGCCAAGCACCGGATCCATAAAGATGCGGCGCGCTGACCCACCACGAGCACTCGCATGGCAACCTGCACGTCCGAGGCACGATGCCGGGGAGCATCCGGAGCCAAGCGGCAACCTCCGCGCCAAGCCGGTCACCTCGAGGTAGGTCTGCTGGTGTTTGCGGCATGACCAGGGTATGTCTGAAGGAGGGGCTACTGACGGAAGTCGCGCATGCAGCCCTTGGTCACCGAGTCGGTCAAATCAAACCCCGCTGGCGCACGTGGCGCGACTGGCAGCAGCAGGCGAGGCCCGGAACAGCAAAACGCGACATACGGTAGCGTTGATGACACCGTCAACTCAGCTGCAATGGGAAAGACTGCGGATGCCCGTGCCGTGTGTGGCCCGGCCTGCGACAAGAGCAGCGCTCGGCCGCATGACATGCTGTTGCGAGAAGCTGCATAGTTCGGGTCGAGAATTGCAGTCCGCGGACCAAACATGACCAAACGACTGCGAACGGCCCTCGTGCTCGAATGGTTGTTGCAGGAGTTCCCGCTCCCGCTGCCTCAGCCCTTGCTTGCGGCACCTTCCCACATCTCCCTTGGTGGCTTGGTGGCATTGGGGGTGCAGCAATCGACGCCGCCCGAGCCGCCGATTGGACATCCGCGGCAGATTGAACAGCACACCGCACACCACTCACGCAACCCCTAAACACAATCGGCGAGCGATAATTCAGAAGACAGAAGGCGGATCGCTTGGCTCTTTTCGCTGGTTGCATGTTGCGTTTGCAGGGCGATAGTTCAGGAGAGACAAGGCAAATTCGTTTGTTTCATCGCATGGGGTGGCCAATACCGTATACCCGTTCGTCCACGCATGCCAACGCGCCTTCGCTGTTGGCATTTGCCACACGCAAAAATCTTTGCTTGAGGGCTTGGGCTCTGACGTAGTCGTCGCCTGTACATTTTTGCTAAAAATCTGCTTCCGCTGGGTTCTTGCAGCATCATGTTTTTCCCGGCACTTATCTCCGCAGCCTCCGGAGCCTACAGCGGGCTTTTCACGCGGTGTGCGAGGTGGGCGCTGGCAAGCGGCTGGTTACTGGTCACAGGTGGGAGATGGTGGGAGGCTGTCCCCCACGTCAGCAGTGATTTCGTGCAGCTCCGGCGCCTCACCCGCGGCGCAGGCATCACCGGCGGGCGGAAGCTCAAGCAGGGAGGCTGCGTAGGCACGCCTCGGCGCGCGTTGCCGCGCGAAGCGATGCTGCAACGCTGGCGGCACGGTGCTGCGCCAAGAAGCACAAAAGCTGAAGCGCCCGCGAGCGGAAGCGGCAGTGCATTGCCAGCTTTTGTGACAAAAGTTCCCTCTGCGGCCTAGGCTTGCTGAGGAGCGCGGGGAGGGAGTCTTGCCAGAAGCTTTCCGCTGCCGCCGACCGCAGGTTTTCTTTTACCGTAAACCTAGCCCTCCGTAGGGACAGCGACCATATAGACGTCGTCGAGGTAGCCGAGAACGGTTTCGCCTTCGCGCAGCTGCGCGTGAACAGCTGCAAGGGCTGGGTGTTGAGCCCTGGCGTATAAAACTGGCATGAGCGGGTCGCCTTGCTCGCCCCCCTTCGGATTGTCGAATCTCGCGAAAATCGCCGTTCGCATCCTGCTACACATAGGAGCCGGCGGAGGCGTAGAGCTGGCGAACGAACTGCACAGGCGGGCCTGTGCCTGAGCCCATTTAGCATCGCATGGCGAGATACGTGATCAAACGACCGGACTGCGTCTGTGGACAGCACGAGCACGGCCGCAGGCGGGTCCATTTCAGTGGCGACGCAGCGGAGACGGACCAGGGCTTCTGTTCATGCACAAGTGCTGAAGCCAAACTGCAACGGCATGCAGGCGGCCTGTAATTCGGACGCATACTCTTGCGCGAGTGTGCGCCGACCAGTCGGCACAGCACGTCCCCGACGACGAGGGCTCGCACGCGACCACTGGGCTTTCGGAGGGCGACTGTGCGCCCTGCTCGCATGGCCACAACAATGGGTGCCAGAACGACTGCAAGGGCAGCACGCACTGGCCGGAACACCAGCAGCTCAGGATCGAGAGGAACATAAGGAGCAGGGGCCGGTTCGCTGGGTCGCGGAGCTCCTGGAGCGTCTCAGCTGAGCCAGGGGCGAGCGGTTCGGAGATGAGGGCCCGCACGGCCGCCGACAGCTCACCGACATGGACAAGCGCAGTAGCCCTTGCACTGCGAGCTTCAACGTCTGTTCGAACATCGCGCGCGGCTGCAAGCTCGGGGGTTCGCATGGCTGCCTCGGCAGCAAGCAGCAAGCAGGCAGGCCAGTCGCCGCGAAGGAAGAGCTCGCATCGGCGATCGAGCTCAGCGGAATGAAGGCGCGTTTCGGCTGTTGCAGCAGCAGCATGCGGGGGGCGAGGCAGAATATGAGTTTTCCAACCACTCAATGCCTCGGCGAGCCTGTTATCCGCGACTAATTGGAGCCCTGCACGAAAGGCAGTGCGCAGTGTGCTACGGACTTGTGCGCGGAGGTAGGGTTGCGTATTGGGCTCTTTTTCTACACTCTGCAAAGAGGGCTGCGGAAGTCGCTTGCAGTCAGGTTAAGCCCTTTAGCTCAAACCCTCTGCTCTTTACACTGTACAACTACTTCCTAGGGTTTTCCTAGTGTAGCCTACAAAAATCTCGCACCCCCCTTAGAGGTAGGGGTTTGAGAAAGCACCTCCCGCGGGGCATCCCGCAGTCGGAGGGTGAGACGCCCCTGGTAGGGCGGAGCGTCCCGCGCACAGGGCTGGAAGCCTCAAGGCTCGCCGTGCGGTGCTACCCGCTAGGGGCCCCTTAGGGTGGAGGCACCCGCTGGCGGGAGTTGTTCACCGCACTGCCGGGCTTGGTGCTCTGGTGCCCGTTGCGGCAGTGGAGACACACCCTGTGTCTGATTGTTGCCCCTTCCATGAATGGGCAACCTCGCTGTTGGCCATGGTACCGGCGCACGACGCGGCCGGTGGCCACCTGAAAAGCGAGCCCGGTCCAGAGGAACTCGGAGTTCTGAGGATCTGCTGCGCAGTGGCCGCAGTGGCAGCGAAAGCCAATCAGGACTTGATCCGGCGGGACGGAGCTCAGCCCATTGCAGTTGGTGAACAAGTGGATCTTGTCACCACGGGCCGTCTCATAGAGATGCTCGTCGTCCCCGGAGAGTTCCGGTCCCCTACACCTGCGCCCTTGGTGCTGCGGGCGGCGGTGGTGGTGGAGCGTCTGCCGCAGGGGGCGGACCTGGGGTCCGCTCGCCCTCAGGCTCTGGCTCTTGAGCCCCCTCTTCTTCTGCTCACCTCCTCGTTGCTGCGCCTGGTTTGGCTTCTTCTTCTGGCCCTAGCCAGATCTCAGTGGCCCTTTGAGCTGCACGCGGCGGCTCTTCGGCACGCTCGGCGTGGTGCTCGATCTCATCCTCGGGCTCCGGCTCCTGCCTGTCACGTCTGCACCTGCAGAGCCAGGAGACAAAGCCCCAAAGCATCCACAGGAAGGCAAGGAAGCCTAGGGCCGCGAAGCCGTGCAAGCTTGGTCGGCGGTCTCATTTTCCAGGGGCTTGCCTGGATCGACTTGATCGTGCCCTTTTGGGCCAGAGCCTCGGTGGCGCCTGCGACCGCATCGAGGTCCACCATGCCCATGGAGGGCAGGGATTGCCGCACCTCCGGTCCAGTCTTCGCGTGCTTGGTAGCGAAGTTTGCCGGATTTTCGGTTCCCTTATAACTTTTCTCAGTTCGAGAAGTTTGGCTCTGAGCGCACCTTGTACATAGAATTCTGCAACTTCCAGGTGTCTCAACTTAGACCCTGGTCCTATGCGTTTGGCGGCTCCGATCGAAGCTGCGGAGTCGGCCCAGAGCCGCGGCACACCGCAGGCCAGGGCGAAGTCTTTCTCCGCAAGCTCTCGTAGGAAGACGGCCTCCCTTGCTGCTCGCGACACTCCCCGGATCTCCGCGTCTCCGCTGGAGGTTGCTGGGAGGCCGGGCTGTGTCTGGCAGCTTGTCTGGATGACTGCTCCCCCGAGACAGGCAACTATGTTGTCTGTGCTCCTTCTCGTTTCTGGGCACCCCGCCCAGTCGGAGTCTGAGTAGACCTCCAAGTTCAGAAGGGCTGTGCTCTTGGACGCGGGGTCCAGCACAACCACTCTTCCAAACCGCGGGGTTGCCCGCAGGTATCGCGCGAGGGTTTCCGCAGCGAGCCAGTCGCAGACCCTGGGGTTCTGCATTCTTCGCGCCAGCTCTTTCACGGCGAACTGTATGTCTCGCCTGTCTGCCGACAGGTAGATAGCACTACCCACGGCGCTGCGGAACTTCGCGGCGTCACCCGCAGAGAGCTCCTCGACCTTGGTCAGGTCTAGAGGTCTGCTAGGCACGGTCCCCTTGTCTTTTGGACCGATGCCCAGCTGTTCGCACACATTCTCTGCGTGCTTGCTGTCGGGCAGCGTGAGGATAGAGTCCTCTGTGCGCACCTTGGTCTTTCCCAGGACCTCCACCGCTGTGCCCGGCTCCTCCAGTTCTCCCACCGTTATCTCACAGTGCGCTGGAAGGTCCACCTCCGTGAACTTCAGCACTGCAGCCTTGGGGCCTGCGACAGGGATGTCGTCGATATGGTGGAGAAGGATCAGGCCGGACCGGCGGTCTAGGAACACGCACGGGTCCTTCACGCCCCGCTGGAAGTCGTAGTCCTTGCTGAGCTTGCCAGTCAGGACCTCTTCCAGCTCGTCCCTGTAGACGGACCCAGCCGTTCTTCGGCCGTAGAGGTTGCCGTCCACACGGAACACGAAGTCCCGGAAGTGGTCTCGGTACCACTGCTGGTCCTTCGCAGGCTGCTCCAAGACCCATTGGTCAAAGAGCTCGCGCCACTCCACAGGCACGTGCATGTAGACCGGGCGGCCTTCCGCCGCACCGCGGTCCTTCCCTATGAGGAAGGCGGCCGCAATATCCAGAGACCTTGTGACCCACCCTTCGTTGTGTAGCGCTGCTACCTCAAGTAGGGAGTGACTCTCGGGCGTTGGCGTTGGGACGAAAACGTCCAAGCCAGCTTCCTGTTCTGGGCTGTAGCGGGCCTTAACGTCGGCACAGGTACACCTTGACTTGTACCTTCCTTTGTCGCACTTATCGACCCACTTTGCCCTGAACAGCTGCGCCCCGCGCGGTACTTCAGACCGCAGCACAGGCGTGAAAGCGCCTCGGTCCCACAGCTTTCTTAGCTGCTCCTTGCGTGCCTGCTCGACCTGCTTGGGGTCGAGCATCCGGTCTAGCAGAGTCTAGCAGGTCTGTCACCTGCCCGACCCACGCGTCCCGCTCGCCTTGGTGGGGTGAGCGGCGGGTCGGCTAAGGCAGCGATGTGCTGCCACACCTCGCGCTCAGTGAGCGGTGCCTTCTTGGGCTCTGCGCGGCTCTTTGCTGCAGGCGGCTGCTGTGCTGCCGCTGCGCTCGCGGAGGAACCCGCAGAGTCGCGCTTCTGCCCCCCTTCGCCTGAGCCGTCGCGCTGGTTGCGGCGGCGCGCTTGCTGCGGCAGGACGGCTCGTAGTCCGGTATGTCTGCGTTGGCTAGCTCCTCGCTGTGGCTAGCGTCCGGGAGCCTGCTGGCCTGCTCGGCCCCTTCGACTAAGAGGGCCTCGTCGTCAGGCCGCGGCCCGTCGCTGAAGAGCCAGCGCTCACCGGGCGGTTCTAGCCGCTCCACTTCCTCGGCCGGCATGGCCAGAGGGATTGGCACCATCATCGGCTCGCTGCGCTCTGCTGGCGCTGCGCGGCCAAATCTGGGGTTCCAAGGCAGGCCGCACGCTTTGAGGACGGCTGCCGTCTGGTGCCGGGTTTCCGGCGGAAGTCGCCTGACGCTCCTCACGTTGAGTGCGCCAGCTTCGGTTAGCACCACGTGGGAGTCGTCGCGCTCCAGCTTGCCGGCCCAGACCCCTTTGACCCAGCGCACTTGCGCTTTGTTCCCGGGCCTTGGGAGCTTCGCTAGAACGGTCTCTCCAAAGGAGCAAATTAGTGCTCCACCATAGTCGGTGCCAGTGGCTGCCCGATATGGTGTCACCCCGTCTGTCGACTTGGTCCCGAACCGGGCTTGCAGCCAGGCCACGTGCCTGACAAGCCACGGGAACAAGTTGGACGAAGTGTCCCACTCTAAGGCGGGGTAGTCCGCTCTTAGCTGCGAGAGCCAAGTGCGAACCTCACTGCTAGGTGTGCGTTCCTACCCTCTACGGATCCTTGGCTTTGGTGTGACCCGCGAGGGGCGTCCCGAAGACGCACCCTAGCAGCTCCAAGCCGGCGGTGGACCGCACGGGCCACAGAGGCTATGGCATTCTCCTGGTCGGCCTGTAGGGTAAACTTGTCGTACCCCAGCCGATCCACAAACTGCTCCACAAGCCCCGCGGCGTAAGCCGCGTGTCTGTGCCCTTTGTGCGCCACGGGAACTGACAGAGTCCAGCCAGTGGCCCTGTCTGTGAGGTTCAGCACCGTGGCAAGCGACGCCTCTTCCTCAACTTCTTTCCCGTCCCGACTGATAATCCATGGTGACAAGCGGCGTCACCGGATCATCTGAGGGCTCGCGGCGGCGGTGTGGGTCCTCGCGCGCCTTTCCCTCCACGCACTTCTCGCACCACGCCTGGTAGGGCGTGTGAGTGAGCTCGTGCTCGGCGCGTTCCTGCGCCGTGGGGTTGCGCGGTGCCCTTAGGCCGCGTGGCCTTGAGTCAGGCTGCTCGGCCTGCTCCTCGAGAGGGGCGGGGTTACCCGCAGCCTCCTCCTCTTCAGCAGCTTCGGCCTCTTCGTCGGCTGCTGCTTCCATCGCCGCGTCCTCCACCTCTCGAGGTCGTGCTCCGGGATGTAGTCGTAGTGTTCCAGGTCCTTGCCTGGGCTCGGTGGCTCTGGCGCCACCGGTGCCACCCGGTTTGTTGACCCCGGCGGGAGCTCCCGCTCGTAGGGTAGGAGGAACTGTGACCCTCTCTTGAGGATCGAGGCTCGGACGCCGTCGGGCCACAAAATGTGGCTGTCCTCTCGGTGGAGCTTAAATGCCCGCACCGGCCTCAACAGCACGGCTGATGCTGAGGATTTCGTCCTCTATGTCCTCGGTCACCTCAAAGTTGACCTTGCAGGACTGGCGCTCCTCCCCTAAGAGGAGGCTCGGCTGGACACGGCCCTTTGTTTTCAGGCGGCTGTTGTCCACCGAGTAAAGGCTCTTTGGTGGGCCCGCGGGCTGCAGGTCGGGAAACGCCTCGGGCCTGCACACGGACACACACGCCCCGGAGTCCACGAGAAGACTCCCCGACACCTTCAGGATTTTGTCCTCCTCTGGCTCGGTGTCGTGAGGCGGGGCAAACCGCACACCTAGGATGCGGTCGTCGCGCACCTGGCGTACCTGGCCTTTGCCGCCAGAGCCGCCGGTGCTTCCCCCAGCTTGGGACGCGGAGGGACCCGCAGTCGCCAAGGAGGCTGTTGACAACGTCGTGGCCGCGTCGTCGGCCACTTGGGCCACCTGACCCTTGTTGCCTTTGCCTTTTGCCTTTTCCCTTGGCGTTAAACCAGCACTCTTTTACGGCGTGCCCCGTTTTCCAGCAGATGGGGCATCTGTCTTTGCCGTCTCTGCTTCCTTGCTGGTTCCCCTTTTTGTCCCCTTTCTGGCCCTTGTTGTCGTGGTCGCCCTTGCCCTTCTTGTGGTCTTTGTCCCCTTTCTTGCCTTTGTCGCCTTTCCCCTTCCCTTCTTTTCCGTCTCGGTCCCCTATTCTGCCAATGTCCATGGCGTTAGGGTCCCTTCGGGAAGAGGCGGCGTAGCGCGCACTCGGGGTCCAGATTTTGGCTTGCAAGTAGCTCACCACTACTTCCCTCACCTCGGCATAAGTCGAAAGACTCGCCGCGTGCATAGCGAGGTGTTGCCGAAGAGCGTTGGGGCTCTCGGTCACCAGCACTGCCCGCAGATCCTCGTCTGCTAGGGCGCGCCCTGCGCCATACTCGGAGGCGTAGCGGTCCACGTCTGCCTCCCATTCCTGCAGAGCCAAGGAGAAGTCGCTCTCCTTTGGCGGGAATTTCGGCATCAGCAAAGTCCGCCTCCAGGTGAAGTTCTTGGACTCGTTTTCTGGGTTGTGCTCCTGCCACAGGAGGCGCCAGAGCTCGAACCCATTCTGGCCCTTCACTCCGCGCGCCAGCTTTACAGCTGTGGCGGAGTCCTGGGTCCAGCTGCCCAGCATGCCGAAGAGGCGGACGCTAAGGGTCCGCACTTCCTCGGTCATGGCTGCCATTTGGAGTGGCACCTTGCACTTTCGAGCCACCTCCAGCTCAGCTGGATACCTGGTGTCTACGACCGCCAGGTATAGGACTCTGCCTGAAAGGCAAAGCGCTCCCAGTCGTCTCGCCCCTTAAGGGAGGTCGGGAGCCGCATGCTCTTGAGCAAGTGCCCTCCACCGCTCGCCTGCGACGCAGGGGCGGGCGCCGCCGTGGCGACTGCCGCCGTAGCGGCTGCTGCAGCTAGGCCCTGTTGTCTCTGGGCCGACAGCTCACCAATCGCAGCCTGCAGTTGCTGCGCTTGGCTCTCCAACAACCCCCTAAGGGTTGCCACTTCCCCGCGCAGGGCCTCGACCACGGGGTCGCCCTGCGGAGGCGGATAAGCCGGTTGCTGGCTCATCTCTTGAAGCGTCGAAGATAGCCTGGCTGATCTCGTCCAGCAAGGTCAGGGCTTCTCCGTACTGCTCCGCCAGCTTCCCAGGGGGCCCTCGGCCTGTTGCGCGCTGCGTGCCTCAGTCCGTTGAGGAACTGGCACGGCCCTTGGCCCTCGGAGCTCTCTTCGGACTCCTCTCCCTCTTCCTCACCGCTGCCTGGTGAGGTGGGCTCTTGCTCCTCCTCTGGAGCTTCCTCCCGAGGCGCGGGAGGTACCGCAGCCTCGGGCTCTGCTGGCCCTGGCTGTGCGGCCTTGCGTTCCTCCCTAAGCGGAGGCGGTGGCCCAAGGCAAGGCCGCGGCGCCTTTACCGTTGGGGCCTTTGCTGCTGGAGCGCTTCTTGGCTTGGCCTCCGGCTCTGCCTCCGGGGCGGCCGCAGTGGGTCCGCTCACCGGGGCTGCTTGCTCCTGCCCAGCCTCGGAGCTGAGCTCTCTTCCTTCGCCTCGGCTGCCTGGGCTGCTTTAGGCGCAGCCTTCGGTGAGGCGTCAGGCTTTGCCTCCTCGGCTGGCTCTACGGCCGCCTCTGCGGAGGCAGGCGGGGCAACCCGTTCTGCCGGCTCCTCCTTCTTAGCAGGGACGGCCCCGCTAGAAGAGGAAGCTGCAGCAGCAGCGGGCGGGGCTTCCCGCTCTCCTTCGGAGTCGCTTCCCCCGAAGTCTGGAGTGGCGCGGGGCCTGTGAAGACTGGCACCTTGGGCACCGGCGCGGTGTCCAAGGAGGATTCCGAGCTAGGGCTCTGAATCTCCTGGCCGGCACCTGGAGGAGCTTGCTCCGGGGTGCGCGGCTCTGGGATATCAGTCCCCGGGCCCTCTACGAGGACGACCGGGTCTGTACCCTCTCTTTCGCGCCTTTCAGCGCCGCGGGCCTCGCGGTTGGCGCGGGCCGCTTCGGAACGACCACCTCGGTGGTTCTTCTTTTTCCCAGAACCTTGTGCAGGCTCTTGGGTCGCAGGCTTGCCCTTGCCGGACTTGCCTGCTTGAGCTGGCTTGCCCTTTGCGGGCTGCTCTGCTCCCTTAGCTTGGGCTGCCTTGCCCTTTGCGGGCTGCGCAGCTCCCTTGGCAGGCTTGCCCTTGGTGGGTTTCCCCGCTCCCTTCTCCCCGCGACGGGGGGTTCGGCTCCCTGACTCCGAGGCGGGGCGGCCCACACTCGGGCCGGTTTTGCCTTTGCCCTTTTCGGGCTCGGCTGCCCTTTGGGCTGGTCTGCCCCGGTCTTCGCCTGGGGCTGCTGTGCGGAGAGGGCGGCGCGGGCGAGCTGGAGCTTCGGCTGCTCCGCTCCCCTTGGCACCCTTCGGTGCCTGGCTGGAAGAGGCCTCCTCCTGCTGGGAGGTCCTCCAGCCCCACTGGGAACTCCAGTCGGAGTCCCAGTCCCACCAGCATCCACCAGCCCCACCACTCGGTTGCGTATTGGGCTCTTTTTCTACACTCTGCAAAGAGGGCTGCGGAAGTCGCTTGCATTCAGGTTAAGCCCTTTAGCTCAAACCCTCTGCTCTCTACACTGTACAACTACTTCCTAGGGTTTTCCTAGTGTAGCCTACAAAAATCTCGCAACTTGCACCGGCACGCTGTGCAGTGTGAGGATCGCGAGAACAATTGCATCAAGCTTTCGCAGGCCTGCACGGAATGCACGGACAGCCGCCTCGGCTGAGAGCACCCGTCGTTGGGATGCTCTGGTGGCGTCGGGCACGGGCTGCCCTTCTCCCAGAGAATCGTTAGCGTCCCCCGCAGCAAGCTCAGCACGTGAGGCTGTCCCCCGCCCCGACATCCTCGTCGTCCACATCCATCGAGCTCTGACTGCGCGCTGCCTCGACGATGCGCGCTGCCACGATCCCAACGAAATCCTCATCAGACTCTCTGCCACCAGCACTTTCCTGTGGAGGCCTGCCGTCGGGGCAAGGAGCGGGATGGGCAGGCGGTTTGGGAGGAGGTGGGGGTGCATCGGTTTGCGGACGCACGGCTGCAGGCACAGCTGCATCAGCACAGGGATGGTTGGAAGTGAGCGTTGTTGCATGCGGGACTTGGTGCAGCGGCAAGCCATCTTGTGGGGCAGCGGGGCGGGGCTCGGTGTTGGGGACTGGCCCCCGCACAGCGTGGAGGCAACGGGTACCCCAAACAGCAGTGTGAGAAATGTTTCTTGCAGAGGTGCCACGAAGTAGAAGAAGCCTTGTTGCGGTGCAGCAACGGCGCGGACGACCTCTGCGAGCGTGAACGGCGCGGCTCAACCCATTCCCAGAAACAACGCACTGAGCTCGACTGCATCGGCGAGTTCGCGCACCGGCAAGAACGGGCGGGCGAGGATTGCAGCAACTGCAGGCCACCAATTCAATGGCCCATGATGACATGCGTATGCCAAGATTGCCTCGCAGTGCGTTCCAGCAGGCCAGCTGTATCCGACAAGCCGTGCTACCGCCGAAAAACCAAAACCGGTACGACGGGCATAGCACCTTTTCCCGAGGTGGTTTGAAGATGTTTGAAGCGCATCGCGCCGGACCCGCCAAGGCAAAGCTACGCTAGCCGGCTCCGGGGGGCGCCTTCAGCTACCCGGCCCGCCGCCCGCCAGCGTGCGACGGTCCACAAAATCCGATAAAACGTTAAAAAGGTGGAGGAGGTGGGAGCTTAAAGGCCGGGCGACGTCGATCCGCAAAGGCAGCTGCGGGATCAACGTTCGCGGGATTGTCCTAGCACACACAAGTGTGTTACATGACAAGCCGTGCTACCGCCGAAAAGCCCAAACCGGTACGACGGGCATGGCACCTTTTTCCAAGGCGGTTTGAAGCGCATCGCGCCGGACCCGTCGCCAACGCAAAGCTACCCTGAGTCTGCTGTTTACCTAATTTTACACTTTGGCTTGATTTACTGTAAACGAAGGATTTAGTGTAAAATGACCAAATTTACGTAAATTTTCTGGTGAGCTAAAAACATGACAAAACACATAAAAACATTATGCAAACACAAACATGGAACTCATATTTGCGGCTGCAAACTTAGACACCACATGTAAAGGATTTAAAAAAATCACCGGCATGAGTTTGTTTTGCTCTGCAATCGCAGACACCACATGTAAAGGATCCACAGCAGAAGTAAGGACTTTTCCGAAAATTCGCAGGCCCAAAGCCATAAACTAACCAAAGAGAATCCATGCAGATTGCTTATAAGATCCACACCAGTATATACGACAACTGTGATTCAAAAGCCCAAACAAAAGACCAGGAGCACCACATATAGCAGAGAGACACTCTTTTTTTTCGCGACAGAAAAGAAAGAAGCTCTCACGATCGCCCAACTTTGCCCCGCAGAAACAAAAGGTGCCTCTCTTTGAGGGCAGCCTTTTTGGAAGCATGCCAGTGCTTCACCCCTGCCAAACAACTCTTCCATAGAATCTGCAGGCGATGCATCGTCGTCTCTCCCTTGTAGCACCAGACCATCGACGGATGAATAAAACTGCTGAGTAGGAGACTATGCAAAACGAAGTGGGTCTTACTTGTGAGATTGAAGAGCTTCTCCCCCGTCCCTTTGTAGTGGGCTTGCAGGCTGCTGTGGAGCTGTGCCATTTGGCAACCGAGCTTGAAAGCCAGGTTTGCTTGCTCCTCAGGTAAAGCCAAGAAGCCGTACCGTGGCCCATAAGCTTCCAATATTTCAGCCAGCTGCAGGTTCAACCGCAAAAAGAGCCGGATTTGCTTGTGTTGATAGATACCCTCGTCCATTTGCTCTTCGAATAGAGCAAGAATTGCACTGTCCAAAGATTGAATATCGGAAGCTCTTCCTCTCATCTTGGGGAATCCTTTTTTTGGTTGTATCATTGTAAGTTTCAGAAGTCGCTGGCGGAATGTGTATCTGGTTTCGTTGTCTCGCTGGTACTTCTTGATGAAGGAGTCGCAGTATTTCAAATTCGCCAAGATACTCCCACCCAAACAATCGTGGACCACGATGCTGAGCACGGAGCCATAAAAAAACTGTATCCACCCCAAAAACATACAATGCATATAGTCCATCGTGATACAAAGTCCCGAAAAGCCAGGTAAAGAATACAGCTGGCATGATGGATTCCAGTGGGATCTCCAGTTGGTGGTGGTGAGGCACGAGGCTTGCCACGGCGAATTTGCACGATTGTCCATCCATGTTAGTGGTCCTTTGAAGGCGGCCCGACAAAGAGCACAAGGTTTGCTGTGATTGCTCCATCGTGGAACCTCCAGCCATTTCGCATAATAATCCAAGTCGCCAGCCATTTGAACCAGGACACCATAATATCCTCCGCATAGGTCGGTTCCCGCTCGTTCGCCCTCCTTTGTACTGGCCCCATACCTCTGTGCCGTGTAACAAACATTTTCTTACTTGTGAGACAGGTTCATATATATCTACATATATATATCTACATGTGGTGAGAGGGTTTTTTACGTATACTGTGTGGTGATTTTTCTCACATCCGGTTCGTGCTGCTTTGGGATTCCACGGGTCCGTGGTTTTGTGGCTTATATATGTTTATACGATATTATATACTGTGTATATATATATATATATCATCACCATCAAGGAAGCTGTTGGGTTAGGGTTGGATTTGAGAACAGGGCTCTCATACATAGGGTGTGTATGTATATAGTCACATATCTAAAACAGGACCCACATCATAAAAAATCAAGAAAGACAAAAAGGCTTACAGCTTATAGGGTTCCCACAGGGTCCTAAAATGTAAGGGTTTCCATATTTCTGGCACATGTGTACATATACAACAACACACCAGGCTGCTTCTTGCCTTGCCAATCCCGAGCAGGCCATTTACCGGTGTAAAGAATGTTGAAAGACCAATACATCACTTGCCAAAAAGTTTCCATTGTCCCAGCCCCCTCGCCGCCAGCCGGAATAATGAACTTCTCAAAAACGCCCAAAATGTAGAGGTTGCAATCGGCAGCAGATCGGCCGGCCGCTGTGGCCATCAGCGATACCCATGAAAAAGCCAAAACACTGCGAGCCCATATCTTGCCCACTCCAAAAACAGGAACTTCGTCGCCGTGTATGCAAAGGGGAATAGCCCTTTGCATCCAATTAGCTCGCGCTTTTACCGCATGATTTGACATGCAAGGGTGTCCATTGAACGATCTCCAAAACCGAGGCAAAGCCTCCGCATCAGGCAACACAGAAGTAATCCATCCAGTCGTCGTCTTCCAAAGGTGGTGCATAATCTCGTGCGGAAGCAATATCATGTAAGTCGCCGTGCCTTCGACTTGTCCTGCTAAGGGGATATTAAATTCTGTCGGCATCGGAAGATTGGACTGCTGGGCCAAGTGGTTGTCAATAGAAGATGGCAAATTTTTTCCATGCTTCACCTTGCTGAGCCTGTCCAAATCAGGAAGAATTTTCCCGTCCCTTGCATTTCTAATATCGGCAGCCGATGCAACTGCAATTGCATGAATCATAGAGGCCGACAGGAGGCCTTGTGCCAAATACGTCATCAGCAAATCGTGCAAAGAACTTGAGGTGGACTTCTCACTCACCGCCTGGCCCAATCTCTGTTGGACCCCACCCTTTCGTCGCTTTCGCTCGGGCCCTGCCTCCTCCATGGTACCTTCTCTCCATATATAAATAAACAGAACAGCACCTTTATGCAAAGTTGGTGTTTGTTGCCAGCTGAACTTTTGTGCCTTATTTCATACAGTGGTTTGTTCGCTATAGCCATAAAACATTTTGTATAAGGACGGGACACACATGGTCAGACACACCGAGCATTGAGGCTGAGGCTTGTGAGCAAGTTATACATATATGTGTGGGCACCAAATATACTATACAAACAACAACAGAAAGCTTTTTCCCCAACCCCGCAAAACCCAAACCCCCTAAACCACACGGTCCACTGCCCCTCAATCTGGACGAAACAAATCTTGTGAGGGTTTATATATAAGGTTCAGGATGTAAGGGTTTATAGAGGGTTCAGGGTTTGGGGTTACGAAGGTTGTGTTGTGAGCTTCACAGGGTTTTGGAGGTATGGACTTTCATGGTTGATTCAATGCTTGGGGTTCGGAGGTATAGCTTTACACATGTGTGCACTCACACATGCAAAGCAGGCTACAACAACACCATCGGTGTTATCTATACTCTAAAATTGAAGCTGAAAGTCACGAAGACCAACACCCCAACATGATTCAAAAGGTTATAGTTATACACGTCGTTGCTCACATGTAAAAATCACCAGAAAAGCGCCAAATCTCAAGCGCTCATCATCGCCGTTGCTTTTTTCTCTCATCGCCAAAACTCAGAATCGCCGTTTGCACCACATAGAGGCGACAGCTCCGGAACTGCACACATTCAAAATCTGTCTAGCATCCTTTTTTGGCTCGGACAGTCAACTTGGCTTTCACGTCTGCCATTTGTTCTTCGAGATGAGTTGCTACTCGCCCGGACTCTCTCATGGTCTTGGAATATGATGAGACCGTGATCGGCCCGTCCT